ATATTTAGTTGTGTGGATATGCCACATTTTGTTTTTCCATTCATCTGCTCATGGACATTTGCCTATTGTGAATAGAGCTGCTGTGAACATTCATGTACACATTTTGTTTGAATACATGTTTCCAAGTCTTTGGGGCATATACCTACAAGTGGAATTCTGGAACATATTGTAATTCTGTGTTGAAGAACCACCAAACTACTTTCCACAATGACTGTACCATTTTACATTCCACTAGCAATATGTGAGGGTTTCGGTTTCTTCACATCCCATCCAATACTTTTTATTTTCTCTTTTTAAATTTATTATTATTATGACTATTGCCCTCTTAGTGGGTATGCAATGATACAATGATACATCGCAGTTTTATGTGCTTATTGACCATTTGTATAGCTTCTTCGGAGAAATCTATAGTCAAGTTTTTGCTCATTTTCTAATTGGGTTTTGTGGTTGAGTTTTAAGAGTTCTTTATATATTTCCTTATCAGATATATAATTTACAGACATTTCTCCCATTTTGTACGTTTTCTTTGAACTCTCTTAGTAATGTCCTTTAATGCATAAAAGTTTTTAATGTTGATGAAGTCCACTTTATCTGTTGTTTTCTTGCTATGCTTTTGATATCATACATAAGAGCATAAGAAATCCAACAGAGCCTAATAAACTTGTGGTTGACACCTCAGGTACACAAGAAATCCAAAGGTTATGAATATTTGCTCCCATGTTTTTCAAAGGAGTTTTACAGTTTCAGCTCTTACGTTTAGGTCATTGATTCATTCTGAGTAATTTTTAACGTGCTGTGAGGTAGGGGTCCAGCTGTATTCTTTTACATATGGACATCTACTTGTCACAGCACCATTCGTTAAAGACGATTCTTTCCCTATTGAATGTCCTTGGTACCCTTGTCAAAAACCAAACAGCCAAAGATGTGTAGGTTTATTTCTGGACTCTCAGTTCTGTACCATTGATCTATATGCAGTGCCACACTATTTGGTAGTCTGTAGTAAGTTTAGAAATTGAGACAGTTCGTTTTCCAGCTTTGTTCTTTCTAAGATTGCTTTGGCTGTTCAGGATTCCTCATAATTCTGCATGACTTGAGAATTTTGGCACTCCGCATGCATGTGCTGGTGCACTTGACGGAGCTCCACAAGCCTCTTAGGCTCTTGAGCTCTCTTCATTTTCCTTCATCCTTTGTTTTCATTCTGCTCCTCAAACTGGATCATTTCATTTTACCTCTTTGCAAGTTCACAGATAATTTCTTTTGCCTGCTCAAATATAGGCCAGTGAAGTGACTCACGCCTGTAATCCCAGCACTTTGGGAGGCCAAGGCAGGCAGATCACTTAAGGTCAGAAGTTCAAGACCAACATGGTGAAATCCCATCTCTAATAAAAATACAAAAATTAGCTAGGCGTGGTGACAGGCACCTGTAATCCCAGCTACTCGAGAGGCTGAGGCAGGAAAATTGCTTGAATCTGGGAGGCGGAGGTTGCAGTGAGCTGAGATCACGCCGTTGCACTCAAGCCTGGGTGACAGAGTGAGACTTCATCACAAAAAAAAAAAAAAAAGAAATATGCTTTGACCTTCTCTAGTAAATTTTTTAGTTCAATTGTGCATTTCAGCTCCAAAATTTCTATTTTGTTGTTGTAATTTCTGTCTCATTATTGATATTGTCTGTATTTGGTTGTTGTAATTTCTGTCTCATTATTGATATTGTCTGTGTGTTGAGACATTATTCTCCTGGTTTCCTTTTTTTCCATGGTGTTTTGTTTTTTGATTTTTGTTTTCTCTTTAAGCAAATTTAAGATAGTTTATTTAAAGTTGTTGCCTGTGACTTGAAGGCAGAAACTTAACGTAAATATATTTCCTGTGATGCCTCGGGGACAATTTTTGTTGATTCACTTTCTTTCTCCTGTAAATGGGCCATATTTTCTTATTTCTTTTTGTGCTTTACATTTTTTTGTTGAAACTGGGCATTTTGAATATTCCGATGTGATGACTCTGGAATCACATTCTCCCCGCTCTAGGATTTGTTGCTTCTTGCTGCAGGTTGTAGTTGTTTATCTGGGGACTTTCTAACTATTTTTATAAAGACTCTTGGTCTTTGCTGGTCTCTGAAGCCTCTATACTTTTAGCTCAGTCATCAGCTGGTTGTTAGACAGAGATTTCCACAAACACCTGGAGCAAAAGAGATTAAAAAAAAAAATGAAAGAAAAAAAGTGCTCTCTCCACGCCTTTGCAGGCTGGCTCTGTGTTGGAAGCACTCCTTCAGTGCTTAACCAGACTGTTTCCAGCTCTGCCTTAGCCCTCGCTGCCTGCTTGTGCTGAGTACAAAGAGCAGCCTGAGAGAAGAGCTTGTGGGATTCTCTGGTCCTTTCTGCCCTGAATGTGCGCCTGGATTCTAGGTTCCCCATTTCATGTAAGAGCTTCTTGAAGCCCTTATTCTCCAGGATTCTTACCCCCAGGTTTTCCTCTCAGGCCATCAGAGAGCCTGTTGTTTGCTTCAACTGCCAAGTGTTTCCTGAGCTGGCAGCAGCTTATACATTCAGCTTCCAGCATGTCTGCAAAACCGCCTCTCAGCCTGAGAAATCTGAGTCTTTTGCCCAGAACCCACAGAAAGGTCAAAACAAACACAATTCCTTGGGTTTATGAACTTCCTCCAGTACCAAATACCCACAATAGGAGCATGGGTTTCTGTCTTCAAAATGACCACCATGTTGGGGTAGGCTGGGGCAAAGGTGAGTTAAATACAGCATGCTCTCTGCCTATTTAGGGCCTTTCTCCAGGCTAAGGGTTCACTTGGTTGCCATAAGCCTTTGAGTATCTTCCAGGGCTCTGGGCTCTGGTTGATTCCAGCAGTTTTTCCCAGGTTTTTTGGTGTTTCCTTAATGGTCCCTATGCCACCATTTTCACTGACCTCCTTTGTTAGGATTTTAACCATTTTTTTAATTGTTGATAGGAAGCTTCTCAAATTCAATATGTATTTGCTAAAAACATTTCTTCATCTCATCCACTTCATTATCTCAAAAAAAAGATCTTAACAGAGCTTTTTTATTTTTCTCTGCCACAGCAAATTGCGGTTGCCATTCATGGTGAAATTTGCTTCATACCCTCAACTCTTTTATTTCTCTCTGTTTCCCTGGTCATGGTATGAGTTTCTCATCTCTACCTTGTTCTGCACCAGCAGTATGCCTTCATTTTTCATTTTAAAATTTGCCCACAGTTATTTCTTAAACTAGAAAAATAAGTATTATAATTAAAATAACAAGTGTTTCCATTTTATTTTATTTTATTATTATTTTTTTTTTTTTGAGACAGAGTCTCACTCCGTCACCAGGCGCCAGGCTGGAGTGCAATGGCATGACCTCGGCTCACCGCAACCTCCGCCTCCCGGGTTCAAGCAATCCTTCTGCCTCAGCCTCCCGAGTAGCTAGGATTACAGGCGCGTGCCACCACGCCCAGCTAATTTTTTTGTATTTTTTTTAGTAGAGACAGGGTTTCACCATGTTGGCCAGGATGGTCTCGATCTCTTGACCTCGTGATCCACCCGCCTCGGCCTCCCAAAGTGCTGGGATTACAGGCGTGAGCCACCGCGCCCGGCCCGTGTTTCCATTTTATAACTAAGTATGATTTACACAAGTATTACTATAATTCATGCTGCCTCCATAAAGTATTCATGTTACAGTGTTCCATTCACATATAGAAAAAAATCATTCAACTCAGTCTGTCACTATCAGTTAGACCCGTGGCATACTGAGGTAAAGTGCTAGGCAGAGCACAAACACCCGCGACACACTCATACAACGCAGTGCCGGGCATGACACAGCAGCTGCAGCGAGAGATGGTGCTCCCGAGACGAGAAAGGGACATGTAATGGAAACAGAGCTTACACTGCTTCCAGTTTAAAATTTGATTAAAAGTAATGAAAATGTCAAACGCAGCCCTTAGGTTATTAGTTGAACTAACCACACTGCAGTCTCCGTTGCTCTGTGTAGCTCATGGAAGCTGACTGGAGAGCACAGGTCAAGAGGCACGAAGAGTTGAAAGTCACTGTGAGTGGGAGAAGGGGAGGCACTGGCCTGTGGTCTGACCCACGACAAGCATCCGTCATGAGGGCCAGCAGTGGTGATGTGCAGAGTCCAGGCAAGGCCAGGAGGCCAAGGTGTTGGTCCAGGTCCAGAGACTGGCTCTCAAGTGATCCCAGAGGTTTGGTGTGGGGTCTGCCTTCCACAGCATTAGTGTGACTAGGAGAAAATCAGCTTTTAGAAAAGGCAGTTTTTCCCACCTAACAAAGGAAGTTATGCATCAACTGGAGTAAGACCTTCGAGGGCCAGGTATTAATCAGTTCGCTGAGGACAGGCTGATGCTGCCTCCTTGCTCAAGGTGGAAGAGTCAGAGCAAAAAGGAGACTCAGGGATGGAACAGAAAAGCAGTCCTCAGCCTGAGGGCCCGGAGCCCAAGCCCCAAAACGCCAGATGTACCAGCCACTCAGCCTCCACACCCGTGACATGGGCTCCTGCCATGGCAGGGACTGGACTGAGTGCCACTTGGCTTATGCTTTTACCGTAAAATCCTCTTCTAGGAATCTAACCTAAGGAAATAGTACAAGATAAGGGAAAAGATGTATGTGCAAAAATATTTATCATTTATTATTTTTTTACTTTTAAATTCTTCTTTAGAGACAGGGCCTTGCTCTGTGGCCTAGGCCGGAGTGCAGCGGCACCATCATAGCTCACTATAGCCTCAAGTTCCTGGGCTCAAGTGATCCTCCTGCCTCAGCCTCCCAAAGTTCTAGAATTAAAAATATTTATCACAGTGCAAAACTAGAAACTTAAAGATTCAATGATAGAGGAATAAATAAATGATTCACTTCCATAAAAAGAAAACATCTTTAAGATTAAAACCACCTAGGTGATTATTAGGGTGTTTCCAAAATCAGTGTTGATTCTCTCTCGTCCCTCCCTCCCTTCCCCCCTAATCCCTTTCTCCCCCCTCCTCCACTTCAGGAAGCTGCACTGCACCAGGAACTACATCCACCTGAACCTGTTCCTGTCCTTCATCCTGAGAGCCATCTCAGTGCTGGTCAAGGACGACGTTCTCTACTCCAGCTCGGGCACATTGCACTGCCCCGACCAGCCATCCTCCTGGGTGAGGCTCTCCCCACCACAGGGTCCCACCCTCTTGTCCCTTTGTCTCTGTTCCTCCTTCTCATGATGACGATGACTCAGTGCTGGTGCAGGATCTCTGTCAGGACACAGGGTCACAGCTGAGAAACAGAAAGACTGGCAGAGAGGCTGGAGCCAGAGCAGGCCCCATCAGCAGCTGAGACGTGGGGTTGGTGCTGAGGCAGGGAGGGTGGGGGGTCCCAGGTGCCATCAAGGCTGGGAAATGAAAGGGCCCTGAGCCCTGACCCCCGCAGTCCTAGACTGAAGAAAGCCACACCCTTCCTCACACACATCTGGGTTGGGAAATCTTGGCCCAGATGAACACACACAACTCCATTGCTTTCTATCTGAATCTCCTAGATTCTGAGCAGTAAATGCTTCCTTCCAGACTGCTGGAAGAACTCGATGTGTGTCACAGGTAAATTCCATGCAAAACCTGATTGTGAAGCCAGCTGCAGGTCTGTGAATATCTTGGGTCCAGCTCTTTGATGTGAGGATAATCTTAATTATTAGTTCCTATAAATGCAGTACAGGGTGTTTCACTCCACCCAGGCCCTTCTCCCTTGGCTGTATTTGTGGTGGCTGTTGATGGTTATTTAGCACCTAATCAAGTCAGTTTAACACGGCAAGTGCTGTTGAGTGCCTCCTACACGCAGGTCATTCTACCAAGCACATCCCTGCTGGCCCAGAGCACTTCACATGCCCAGCATCTCTGTGAAAGATTCATACCCCTGGTACCTCACTCTTGATCTGAGACCCTTGCTACCAAGGTTCTTCTTAAGGAGCCAGGAGTGCCGAACTCTCCTCCCGCATTCCACGCAGATAGGTCCATATGCTGGCACAGTTGCTCAGTCTAAACAGACTTGAATTAACTTAGTTTTAAGAGAGTAAAGCCCTTTATAACTGCACAGACATCAGCTGTTTCGTAGGCTGTCGTCTTCATGCAGAAAATGTGGTTCTGGGGATAACCTGGCGCATGATGCATGTGAATCAGATTTGCCGTGATAACAAAATGAAAAACAAGATTTTTCACCTGGCAAACCCCTGTCCCCAGGTGGAGTTGGGGCCCTGGAGTTCCATTCCTGGGACAAGGGCCTCCCTACATGTGTAACTGTGGTAAAAGCCCGTAAGAAGTATTAGGACAATGTCAGATTCTCTCTCACCAAGATGGTTTCAAGCTTCACTCTGCAGATCTCCCTGCCCTTAGCTCTTCATGAAGAAAGCAGTCACCCTTGACAGATGCTTGACAGACACTCAGAGGACTACTGGGACTCATGACAGACCCTCGATGGACCCATGACATGGAAAGCAGTGACCCGCAACTGACCCTTGACAGACCCTCAGGACCCCCGACAGACCATCAGGACCCATGATGAACCCTCAACGGACCCTGACGGATCCCAGAGGTCCTGTGACATAGAAAGTGGTGGCCCTTGACAGACTCTCAGGACCTGCAACGGACCCTCAGCAGACCCCGCAACATGGAAAGAAATGGCCCTCGACAGACCCTCGAGACCCGTGATGGACCCTCAGCAGACCCTCAGTGTAGAAAGCCGTGACCCATGACAGACCATCAGGACATCTGACAGACCCACAGGACCTGCAACAGACCCTCAGTGGACCCCAACAGACCCCAGAGGACCTGCGACGTAGAAAGTGGGACTGGGTGCTGGTCTGGAGCAGCAAATCTCTACTCTCCCCCACTGCTTCAACCCAAGAGGAGCGCCCAGAATCTCCCAGCCAGGGCAGGTTTGAGCCAGTGTGGCTGCCCCGGTGGGAAGGGCTGGCCCCCTGTATGTGGCATGGAGCTTTCTCTGAAGGCCAGGCTGTTTCTGTGGACACCGTGGGTGAACACTCATTCGCCTTTAAAAGAGCAGTTGCCCCATTTCACAGATGAGGCAACGGAGCTGAGGGAAACCCAGCAACTGGCCCAGAGCCCAGGAGCCCCAGCAGCATGGATCCCGGTTCTTGGAGTTGAGCTCTGTGAGGACAGAGGGAGACAGCTTTGCCGATTGTGCCAGGTGCCCCGAGACTCCTGTACCAGCAAGGGGAAACAGAGGCAAAGGGAAGGTGTGCGAGCAGACACAGGAGGGAGGGGACAGCAGCCAGGAGGGAGGGGAGGTGCCTGAGGCCAGATGGAAGGTGAGCTGGGTCTTCCCTCTCACTGTACCCTAAAGAACGCTCACACTTTGAGTAAACAAGTCAGCCAGAAATATAGTCAGACCTCGGCATAAGGAAAGGGAAGAGTATCTTTCCTTCCGGTTGCATTTTTTGGATTTTTTTTTGTTCCCAGCCGGCTTCACTAAACCAAGATTATTCTCCCAAGCAGAACACGAGGGGCAGCCCCCCCAATAGGTGCAGGGTCTTTTTCTCATGACATTAGGATCAGCTGAAAACATGAAAAGTTTTCCTCCTGGCTCCTTCCATGTGGTCTAGAGACACAGTTTCCTCTGGGGCCCTGGGCTGCCCCGGGCGTGGAGCAAACCTGCTGTTTATTCTCACAGTGGCCACAGCAGGTTCTATGGGACTCCCAAAAGTGCACCCCCAGGCTCACTAAGCTGAGTCCTGCCTGCCTGACATGCATGTGTGCACCTGCATGTACTCACAGTCACACAGAGGCTCCCCGACAAGGTCACAGGGCTGAGGAGGGACCAGCTGCTGATCGGGCACCGAGCCTTGGTGTGTCTCCTGGCCAGGTGTTCTCACATCAATGCTGTGGGTGGCAGCTGGCCCTGGAGGACCTTTGTGGCCTGCCAGGCCCCTCCTGCTATGCTCTGGAGCCTGTGTGATGTGGTTTGAAAGTCACGCTGTAGAAGATGAAGTCTGTGGAGGCCTTGTCATTCCCCAAACCTCCCATGCTCACAGAATGTGCTTGCTTGGTGAATGGGCACATGGAAAAAATGCAGAGATGTTTGTGTTCCCATTTTAGAAAGAAAATGGAATCTTCACACTCTTTCTGCATCCTCTTTGCCACTTCAGCAGGACATCCCAGAGCCCCTCCAGGCTGGCGCCTGCTGTCAGGCAGGACACTCCCCCTCGCATGGCCTGGCGTTCTCCATGTAGCCCTTGCCCAGCACGGGGCCTGCTCTGCACTTGATTTTTCTCTTTTGCCACTGCAGACGTCACTGGACATGCGTCTTTATGGACTAGTGTTCTTATTTCTATTGGGTGGGACTCACCAGTGAGGCTGTCTCCATCTGGGCATGCTGCTGTCACAGACGGCAGACATTTACTTCTCGGTTCTGGAGGCCCGATATGGAGGCATCACGAGATTCGGGTCTGAATCCTCTCTGTGTCCTCACGTGGTAGAAGGGGTGAGGGAGATTCAGGTCAGACTCACATGGTGGAAGGGGCAAGGGATAATGCTGGGGTCCCTTTACAAGAGCACTAATTCCATCACAAAGCTCCACCCCCATGACAAGTCCCCACCCCTGTGACAAGCTCCCACCCACTAACACATCCCACAGCAGGTGAAGCTTCAATACTTATTTTTTTGTTTTGTTTTGTTTCTTTTTTTTTTTTGAGACAGATGCTCACTCTGTTGCCCAGGCTGGAGTGCAGTGGCACAATCTCGGCTCACTGCAACCTTCACCTCCCAGGTTCAAGTGATTCTAATGTTTCAGCCTCCCAAGTAGCTGGGATCACAGGCAGGTGCCACCACACCTGGCTAATTTTTTTGTATTTTTAGTAGAAATGGGGTTTCACTATGTTGGCCAAGCTGGTCTCCAACTCCTGACCTCAGGTGACCCACCCGCCTTGGCATCCCAAAGTTTTGAGATTACAAGCGTGAGCCACCGTGCCCAGCTGCACGTGTATTTTTACATTGTAGTAAATATATTTTGCTAGATTGCTTTCCAAAAGGCTGAGACAGCTGACAGGTGCACTTAGGATCACACCAGAGCCCGGAGACATGACTGGTTTTGCCATTTTGCCTGTCTGGTAGGCATTGGCACTGCCTCTGTGGCTCTCACGCTCACTCCGGGGCAGGGCACCTGCTGAGAAGTGGCATCTTTCCACAAGCTGTTCCGGCGCTCTAAATACCACATTCATCTGTAATATCGGTGTTGTAAAAATTAACCATTTGTCACTTCCATTGTCAATATATTTCCAAATTCATCATTCATCAATTATATTTTTATGGTATTTTTGCCATCTAAAAGTTTTTAAAGTTCATATAACCAAAAATTGCCTTCTATCCTTTTAGCATTTCTTGTTTTCATTTCGGATTTCCCATCTTGATTAAGAGGTTTCTATTCTAAGATTGTTCATTTGTATCTTGGTTCATCTGTGGTTTACTCCTCCTTGTGTTTAAAATCGGGTCTTTTACTGAGTGACAGGCAAGTTGCATTCAGATGAGTCACCACATCCCAGAATCCCACTGCCCAGAGATTTTAAAACTTGATTTCATTTTATTCAAATGAGTGGCAATGAGTTACAAATTGACCTACTGTGACTCTCTTGTGTTCATGGCTGTGTCATGTGTGTCTTTCCATGTAAGAGGCTCTGTCCTGATGCCCAGGGCAGAACTTGCTGGGATCTGAGTGTCCATTCAGCAAGTGTTAACACTTGAGATCCGCGTGCAAGTGCTCGGCTTGCCCTGGTGGCAAAGATGAACAATGAGGGTAACTCTCACCTGTGCACTGCCTCAAACAATGAAGCACCTACCCTGTTATGCTTAGGAAAAGGAAAACGCAGATGAAGGCAAGGCAGATCCGGAGCACTGGGGAGGTCAGGGGCAGCCTGCAGGGCTCAGCAGCTCTCAGGACCCTGGAGGCCAAATTGAAAGGCCACCACATGAATGTATAAGTATATCCACCCATATATATGTATAAGTATATCCACCCATATGTATGTATAAGTATAATCCACCCATATATATGTAGGAGTATATCCATCCACATATATGTATAAGTATAATACACCCAAATATAAATATATCCACCCGTATGTATAAGTATATCCACCCATATATATGTATAAATATATCCACCCATATGTATGTATAAGTATAATCCACCCAAATATAAGTATATCCACCCATATGTATATAAGTATATTCACCCATATGTATGTATAGGGATAGCCATCTGATAATGTGTATATTATATCCACCCATATGTATGTAATATTCACTCATATATATAAGTATGTCCACCCACAAATAAATATATCTATCTGACATATATATATAGCATATCTGCCTGTACATATGTGCTTCCTACATATGACTATATCTATACATATATATGAACATAAATATAGAATAAGAATGGAAATAAAAATACTATCCTTTTTCAGCACACTTTATATAAGCTCAGTGATTAAAAGTAGCAGTTTCATGTTTGCTCATGAAGCTGAAATGCCTGGTACATTTAGTTAGAAGAAGGTCTGAGAGATTAAAATAGATTTATTTTATTTATACTTTCCCAGTGAAAATTCTTTTAAAAACCTCCTCATAAAATATTTTATTTGCCAGATTTCTCCTGTTTCCCCCTTTTTTAAGGTTTAATTAGGTCACCTAACATTAAAACCAGTTTTTTACAATTGAGGAACTTACAGGGTTGTCAGAAATTTAAAGGAAAATTTGGGGGCCTGATGTGGGTCCATTTTCTCTTCCCAAGCGCTGCTCACCTGAGCTGCTAGTGAGGGAAGCTGTGGGTGCTGCACCCTCTACCTGCACTCGTGCTCGAGGGCGAGGGGGCTGGAAGCCCTAAGACCCTCCAGCAGTGAGTGCACTCCTGGCCCTGCAGCAGTGAGTGAGCTCCTCTCAGGGAGGGCTGTTCACAGTTGCCTCTGCTGAGTTTATCTTGCAGTGATCATCCCCTGGAGCCACATATACACAGGGCCTGATGCTAACAGAAGGCATTCCAGGCCAGCGCCCTGGCCACTGTGTTAACCCCTTCCCAATAGCACCTGGCATCTCCTCCTTCCTTGCACAGATACCAAGCGCCCTGTATCCTGGAGCAGCCTGCTGTGAACTGTTGTCGCCTAATTGGGTCCTGCTCTCCTCTGTTTGCGGTTTCCAGGTGGGCTGCAAGCTGAGCCTGGTCTTCCTGCAATACTGCATCATGGCCAACTTCTTCTGGCTGCTGGTGGAGGGGCTCTACCTCCATACCCTCCTGGTGGCCATGCTCCCCCCAGGAAGGTGCTTCCTGGCCTACCTCCTGATTGGATGGGGTAAGCGTGCCCCTTCCCACCCACAAACCCCCCAAGTTCCTAATTCCCAGCCCATCTGACTAAACAATGCAAACTTTTTCAGCTCAGAAAAATGCTTTGCTGTCCCCATAGAATGCATGTCAGGGTCATGTTATGAAGAGTTTTTCTAGGATGACTGGAGGCTCCTATGAACAACACGTTAATATTTCCAGTAACCAGGAACCTAGTCTAAAATACTCCCCATTCATGGCCCCTTTGACACCAATTCAAATGGGGCTGCTAACAAGTAACCGAACAATTTCCTCCTCCCCACCTCAACCCAGTTCAGCTTTCACGAGGGTGGGGATCAGAGAGGAGAGAAGTTGAGGCCACACCAGGTAATGGAAGTCTTACCTTGCCCAGGGTTGGAAAGGGGTACAAATTTGGGACATCCTCATGGAGGGGACGAGGCAGATGCAGCCAATATTTCCTCAGGTGGCCAAAATCAGTGAACATATCTCCTCCCTGGCACATTTACCTCCGTGGCCTCCAGTAATAACACTTCCTGTGTAGAATGGCAAGTCTCAAAGCGTCATCAGATTCTCAGCTCTCAAGCATGTGTGTAATTATCTTCACTGCTTACTAAGGCATGAGCATAAACTTGTAAATATTTACGAAGACTTTAAACAAGAAATTGCACTTCATATTCCTATGAGAAAGCATGTCCTTGAGGGTTCTGCTGGTGAGGGCACCCATCTGTGTGCATGCGTGGCTCCGCTCTGCCTGTGTAACCAGGCGTCTCTCCACAGGCCTCCCCACCATCTGCATCGGGGCATGGACTGTGGCCAGGCTCTACTTAGAAGACACGGGGTGAGTCCATGCCCAGACCGTGGCCTCAAAAACGGGCACGACAATATGTGGCAACATGAAGTCCTTTGGAAGCCAGAAGGTTACCTGGTTGGAAGGACAGGGAGCATTTGCGGGAAGCATCTGGGAGATTCTTGGGGAGGAATGCTGAGGTTGGAGTGTTTGGAGGGAGCCCATGTGAGAGACAGAAAGTAAGCCAGGTTTTACAGTGCAGTTGAGACTGGGATCAGCCAGGCAGAGACTGCGGCAGCCCCTTTGGTGGGCACAGCAATGTCCACAGAAGAAAACCAAGTGCCCTGCATGTTGTTTAAAGTGTGGAGGGTCAGATGATGGTGCTGAGGGCACCTGGCACTTCCTGCACACTGTTTGAAGTGTGGAAGGTGAGGTGACGGTGCTGAGGGCACCCGGCACTTCCTGCACGCTGTTTGAAGTGTGGAAGGTCAGGTGACGGTGCTGAGGGCACCCAGCACTTCCAGCATGCTGTTTGAAGTGTGGAAGGTCAGGTGACGGTGCTGAGGGCACCCAGCACTTCCAGCACGCTGTTTGAAGTGTGGAAGTTCAGGTGACGGTGCTGAGGGCACCCAGCACTTCCAGCACGCTGTTTGAAGTGTGGAAGGTCAGGTGATGGTGCTGAGGGCACCTGGCACTTCCTGAGTGCTGGTCTTGGCTCATGCAGCCCGGAGCGCTTCTGCCCTTGCTCACCCTGAGTGAGACCATGGCCCAGATACCAGCACACATGACTCCAGCACAAATATCCTACCTCGTAAAGGGCCTCAGTGTGCATCACTTATCCACTGCTAGTAACAAATCACTCCAAAATTTGGTGGTTTAAAACACCCACCTAGTCTAGTTACTGTGTGATTCTGTACCTGACGATCTGGGAAGACTCAGCAGGGGCACTTCTGGCCTTGGGGACTGGCCCCCCCTTGGTCCCCTTCGGCCGGCTGCAGGCTTGGGCCCCTTGTCCCTCTTCAGGCCAATCTGAGGCTGCACCAGCTGGAAGCCTCCTGCCCTCATCCTCCGAGGGAGTTCATGAACCCAGGCCTGTGATGGAGATTCTGCTCTGTGGGAGGGCTGCACACCCCCAGGACAGGGTGTGGACCCTGTGGGGAAATGACTGAGGCATTTTACCAGCCAGGGGTCACAGCTTCCTGCTGGAGACACCCCATGTGCCATGAGATGGAGAGCTGGCGGCTCGCCCACCTCAGTCATTCTAAGGACATTTTGAACCGTTTGCCACACACATGCACACCATTTGGGAGGTGGAGGGAAGCTAATTTTCAGGAGGAAGGTTCTTTGCTCATGACATTGGCTGGATGGGGCCAACACAAGCATTCATGCTCAGAGAGGAGGGCTTTAGCACCGTCCTGCCTGTTCCTGGCTTCTGGGACTGTGCCTGTGTCCCTCCTCCCTATAAGCAGACTATCATTTTGGAGCATAAAACGAAACACAATCACTCACTGGGACAGACTCCTTTACGATCTGTCAGTGTAGAGAAGTGATGCTTCTGCGGTGCAGGGAGCAGGCACACTGGGAGGGGCAGGCAACCCCCCAGGCAGGCGCAGATGTGAAGCAGACCTCATTCTCCTGCGCCCCTCTTACGAGAGTGGTTGGTGGTAACCTGATTTCCCATCTCTCTCTCTCACAGTTGCTGGGATACAAACGACCACAGTGTGCCCTGGTGGGTCATACGAATACCGATTTTAATCTCCATCATTGTAAGTAGCCCCTGTTGAAATGTGGATTATCTGTACAGTCACGCAACTGGGCAGACAGCGGGCCCCCTATCCTTTATTAAACAGAAATGACCCATTCCACTCAGCCATCCCAGAAAAGGACCTCTTGAGGCTTCGGACCCCCAGAGGCAATTCCCAGGAAGGAGGGAGGGACTTCAGGAGGAGGGGAGGGTGGAAATCAGGTGGACTTCAGGGAAGTTAGGTCTCTATGAGTCAGTTTCACAAACTTTTAATCTCTTTTGTGCAGGTCAATTTTGTCCTTTTCATCAGTATCATAAGAATTTTGCTGCAGAAGTTAACGTCACCAGATGTCAGCGGCAATGACCAGTCACAGTACAAGTGAGTGTGTATCCCCGGCCTGGCCACCCTGGGGGGGATGCTGTGTGGAAACCCCCCAGCGCTGCCAGGAAGGCCTTGGAACCATGGTGACTACACCTCCACCTCCACCACGCCTCACCTCGCAGCTGGGCCCCAGGGCTCTGCTCCTGCCCAAAGCTTAGACAGGTCCTGGGCAGCATTTCCCTGGTGACTGTGAGAGTTGCCACCCTTTCTTTTATTTCAAGGCCAGGAGAAAGTCCTCTTTAGTGAGCTGGCTTGTTTAAGCTTCCGCCCACTTGCATGTTACACAATCTGTCTTCTCCTTGGCCACACATTATTTTGATTTTACGTTTAATTCTGTCTTCCCGCTCAGACCACATGGTCCATGTCCACGTGTCTACTGCCAGTCCTAATACCAGGCCTTGCAGTTAATAATTCAGAATGTGTTTCCTCCCTGCATGATTACATGACATGGCATCATGATTGCCCTTCAGTAGATGAAGACAGGGCAGATGTTTCACCCCCAGTCATCCAGCTAATTCATGATGACCTGGGAAATCTCTAAAGTAATGCAAAGACTCCATAAATTTATATTAACATTTATAAAGAAAAGGGAAAATCCAAAAATTCAAGTATAAACTAAACTTGGTGTGAAACTGGCTTGGCATGAAAGTGGCTGGCCCAGCCAGAAGGCACCTCGGGCCCAGATTGACTGGGGCTGGAAGGGCAGCTGTGCTCAGAGCTGCTCTGTGACAGGACCCCTGCCACCCAGGCCAGGAGGGTGCCTGGCCTGCGTTTCCCTTTACTCCCACCTTAGAAAACAGGATGGATTTGGGGAGGGGCAATTAGGCAGGAGCATGGCCAAGAGCCCCAAAGCTGGGTGCAGATACTGCTGGTGCCTGAGGGAAGTCACTTTGCCGCTCTGTGCCTCAGTTTCCTCATCTGTAAAATGAAAATCATAATGTCACTAACAGAATCGATATTTGCTGGATATTTGCTGCCTGGCACCAGAGTATTGTGAAAGAGTTTGGTAAACCAGAGAATCTAATTCTGCCATGTGGCATCTAAATCCAGGGAGTGTGCATCTCTGCCTGTCCACGTGAGGGATAGGATTCCACGTCAGACCCTGCGTGGCAGCATGACCTTGTCCCTGCTCCTGGGAGGCCAGTGGTGCCTGCCACGGCAGAGAAGCAGGAACAAGATTGTTCTTGGCCTTCAGGCGGAGCTTTGATTTCCTATGAATCTTGTGTAGTTTGTTTAGTTCCTTTGTATTGGTTCTTTGGGAGTGTTTGTTAAATACACTTGGAGATGGGTACTTTTATTTTGGAAACAGAATTAAGTGGGGACAATAAAATCTGTTCTCGGTCCAGGACAACAGAAAAGGCCGAGACACCCATGCAGCCACGAGAGGTCTTTCTGTGTAACTCTCTGTCATGGAAGTAGCAAAACCTCCCTGGACAGGGCCAGGAGCTCAGCCACAGGGAGGCCTCTTTTCAAGCAAACTTCAGACGAGTTAATAGTGGGGATTAGGCGAGTTCTCTGCTGCTGACTGAAAAGGCCGGCTCCCACGGAGCCCAGCTGTTATGAGCCACGGGCCCGGGAGCAGGCGTCACCCTCATCATTTAAACATGCACGTGGCCACGGTGGAAGCTGGCCTTCTCATCCCATGTGGCACCCTCACCTGCCTCAGGATGGGCGGGGCACCCAGGCAGGGCCCCTATAGGCTGTGGGTCACTTACAAGGAATCTTGCCCTGGTAGCCATGAACCCTGGGGCACAGCATGTGTCGTTGTGAGGGAATTTGGGAGAAATGAACACTTTCTGAAATGCGTGTTCCCGGGTCCTGAATGCTGGATCTGCACAGGGCCTCAGACATAAACATAAAGGAGCAGTGGCTTTTCCTGCTAGCCAGCGACTCCAGCAGTGGGGAGAGGGGTGTGGAACACCCCCCCCACACACACCCAGCTGCCTGGTCCTGAGCAAGACCCTGCCAGGCATGCAGAGGGTTCATAGGTCCAGCAGCTGAGCTGGCTCCTCTCCTTCTGTGCAGGAGGCTGGCCAAGTCCACGCTCTTGCTCATCCCGCTGTTTGGCGTCCACTACATGGTGTTTGCCGTGTTTCCCATCAGCATCTCCTCCAAATACCAGATTCTGTTTGAACTGTGCCTTGGGTCATTCCAGGTAGGTGTGAGGAGGCGGCGGCCCACCCACAACAAAGGGGGTGCTGCCTGACCACCCCTTCTCATTGCAGGGCCTGGTGGTGGCCGTCCTCTACTGTTTCCTGAACAGTGAGGTAAGTGGCCACCTTGGAACCAGGCGCGGGTACTCAATTGGTTCCTGAAATGCTGCCCAACCCAGTCTGTGGCCCCACGTGCGCCTGTCTTCCGTGGGCCAGTCCCACTGCCCAGGCCCCCATGGCTCTCTGTGACCCCATCAGAGCCCATAGTGACACAGGCAAGCCCACTTTCTGGGCCGAGCTTCCAAACCCCCTGTCCTTCCGTCCACCCTGGGCACCATCGACTGCTGTCCTCTCAGAGCCTCTCGGGAAAGCTCCCCGCCAGGTCTAGACAGAATCTGTGTTTCCCCCTGGTCAGCGTCTTGCTTGTGAGTCCCAGAAAGCCGGGAAGCTGAGCAGCGTCCCCCTGGCCCTCACCTGGCCATTCAGTTCCCACTCCCTCCAGCGTCTCTTCCCCAAGCCATTTCTGTTTCTGTCCATCTGACGAGGACACAGATATAGCCCCACCATCCATGTAGGGTCAGGCAGGAGGGAAAGCTGGAGGTTCATGGGCCGTGCTCCTCAGAGCACACACACACCCCTGCCTGGTGCCCTCACCTCCCCAGGTGCAGTGCGAGCTGAAGCGAAAATGGCGAAGCCAGTGCCCGACTCCATCCTCCAGCCGGGATTACAGGGTCTGTGGCTCCTCCATCTCCCGCCACGGCTCGGAGGGCGCCCTGCAGTTCCACCGTGGCTCCCGTGCTCAGTCCTTCCTGCAGACGGAGACCTCTGTCATCTAGCACGACCCCCGCCTGTTGGAAGCAGCGGGAGCCCATGGTACTGGAGCTGATGCAAGGCTGATGCGGGCTGACGCTGGCTTCCTCCTTCCAGAAGCCCAGGCACCTTGTCGGGCAGGTCAGCACAGTCCTCATGCAGTCAAGTTGGTTGTCCACCAAACCCCACACGTGGAAATGGAGTCCTGTTGTCATTGACTCGATCTAAACTCCAGCATTTAGATAATGTTGTTCAGCGTGTGTTTCAGCCATATCATTGGATCCATTTTCGAAGAGAATAGAGAAGCCAAGGAGGAAATGTGGAAATGCAGTTGCATGGCCCAGCACGGGCCTGGGCGACCACAGGTGATGTCCATGCCATTTCAGGGTGGCCTCCCAGGTCCCACAGGGCAGCCCCCTCGCCTGCAGGACAGAGGCAAGCCGGTCAGGGCCCCCTGACATTAGGACCAGGATAAATCAATGTGAGGGCAACCCATCCTCCCTCCTGGGGTTCCCACCTGGCCTGCCCGAACCCTTCCCTACCCAACTCTTCCCACAGGGCCCGGCACAGCCGCCCCCACAGGGCTGTTATGCCTCCCTATGGAAAGTGGGCTGAGGAGACCACCAGATCAAGAAGCAGGTCATGAAGGAGGGGCGCCCTCCACATAGGTGTTGGGAGGCCCCTCAGCAGCCCTGGCTCTGCCTTGGGAGGTCACCTACCACCCTGTGGTGGCCACAGAGCCCAACACTTAGTCTCAGACCAGCTACAGCCAGGCCTGCAGCCCCTGGTGATGGGGTCAGGTGGGGCATGAGATATAGCTGAGTGGGAACCAGAAACCTATTATCTTTTTAACAAAAATAATCTTAGAATCATTTCTGTCCAAATGGAGAATTATTTTAACAACATAGGCAACTGTTTCAAGCCCTCCTCCCCAGAGCTGGCGCTCAGCAGCCCTAGTGGCTGTTCCTCCAGGCGAAGAGTGACCTGCAGACTTGGAGAGGGTGTCTGGGGACGTTGCTGAGCTGGCTGCAGAAGGGTAGGGACATCTGGGTGCAGTCTCCATGCCTGTGACATGCCCTGGTCCCTGCAGCACCTGGCAGACCTCAGCAGGCCACCCACTCCTAGCCCAGGTGCCTCGACAGCGGGGCTGGGTTGTTCTGAGTGCATCTGACTTTTCCCCTTAAAAATGAACATCTTTTTCCCATGCCTTGGTGCCATCACAGACCCCAGCTGGAGCGAGGTGCCAAAGGTCAAGACAGCTGTGCTGGGAGACGGCCACAGGGAAGTGCACACATCCTGACAGCATCACCTTGGTTTGGAAAACCCATGTCCCCAGTAAAATGAGGCCAGAGAGAGGGGCTGTTAGGATGGCAAACCAGCAGTGTCCAGAGACCCCTCAATCCTCGATGGTCAGTGCTCCATCTTGCATACCCTGGGCCTCAGCAACCACGCCCCATCCTATATGCCTTGGGCCACACCAGCCAGGCCCCATCCTGCATACCCCATGCTGGCCATACCACTCTATTGCAATGGACTCATCCCTGGACTTCTGGGGAGAATGAGCCCAAGGTTAGTTTGGAGATGCAGGTAAGGCGGTCAGAAAATCTAGAGAACAACTAACCCACCAATTCTGGGGGCTGCAGAGGCTCCATCAGGGACTAATGTTGGGGAGCAAATGACCCAGGGCAGGTGGCCGGGAAAGGATGGTGGAGTGTGTGGAGTGCAGTGAGAGGGAGGCAGGTGGATGCTGCAGACCCCAAGTTCAGTCCCACCCATCGGCTCCACCCCGCCCCTCTGCTGCTCCTCCCTGTAGGGTTTGGGAGACCCATCCCTAGCCTTTCGTGGCTTTAAAAGGACAAAGAGGGCATCCCCCACCAACTCAGGCTTTTGAGGAAACAAAGATTTGTGGTAACTGAAGGTGTTAGGTCAGTAACCAGGTGTGGACACTGAGCTGTGACCCAGAGGGGACACGGAGGAAGTGGGCATGACGATCGTGGTCAGGTGGTTACCGGGCCCTGGTTGTGTGGCTGACCATCAGGTGGTTGGGTGTGGGTGGTCATCAGCCTTCAGGTATGTGCAGGGGACAGTGTTCAGCAGAGCTGAGGACTGGTTCCTCCTGCCTGGTAGAGGGGCAGGCTGCCCGCTGTTCCTGGCAGATACCTGGTGAGCAGGGGATGCAGGACCTAGCAGTCAGCAGATGTCTTTAACTGTAATCATCTGTAGAATGTCTCAGACTCCTCCACGTGGCAGGAATGAGCTGTGTAAATACTTCAATAAAATGTGACTTCACATCTGCACGCTGAGTAAGAATTTGCTCTGACGAGACCTGAGGCCCTGGGGCACAGAGGATGAGTCTGCCATGTTCACTGTGGCTGCTGCATTCAGATGAAAACAGAGCTGGATGGGGACGGAGAGGGTGGGCAGGGTCCCCCCAGCCACACTGCACCAGGGAGGCTGTTGGAAACGGCCGCCCATCCCTCAAGACAGTCACAGAACCCTGTCAGAGCATCGCCATTGGGGAACCTCCAACTGGCAGCTGATAGGTGAGCAGCGCCCTGGGTAGGAGGCCCCTGCATACCCAGCCTTGTCCCACCGTGCCTGACACAGCCCCCGTCAGCTCTGCAGAACCAAGAACCTGTTAATAGAGCAGGACTGAGTGCAGGAGTGTGTGTGTGCATGCGTTCAAACAGTCCACATGCGTGGGGGGGGTGTGCACACCTGTGTGTGGGTGTCTGCATGTGTGTGGGGGTGTGCACATATGTGTGTAGGTGTCTGCATGTGTGTGTGAGTGCATGTGTATGGGTGTCTGCATGTGTGTGGGGAGGTGTCTCATGTATGGGGGTCAGTGCACACGTGTGGGTGTCTGCATGTGTGTGGGGGGTGTACACGTATGTGTGCCTGTGTGCATACACATATGTGAATCTCTGTATGTGCTGAGCCTTAGTCACATGTATGCTACAGGCAAATAAAATCTATTTCTAATGAACTCCATGCTCCACCAAATGGCTGCATTGTCAGGAGGAATACAGCACATGGCTAAAAGCCACGTCCCCAAGGAGTCAGACCTAGAGCGAGTCAGACCAACCAGCCTTTGCTGACTTTCCTAAGAGCAGAGCAGGTGGGAAGGGGGCAGGGGGCTTGGCACACACCCCTCCAAGGAGCACATACCCCTCCAGGGAGCACACACCCCTCCGGGAAGCACATGGCCCTCCAGGGAGCACATGGCCCTCCAGGGAGCACACACCCCTCCAGGAAGCACACGGCTGTCCAGGGAGTCAGTTTTGTCTGAGTCAGAGGGGCTTAGTACCCATTTGCCTGAGGTGGGAAAATATTCCAGCCGCTGGAGGAGATTCAGCCCTGATGGGAGGCGGAAGGTGCAGGCCAGGGGCCACGCTGAAGAAGCCCCTCCTCCATCCACAGGAATAGGTTCATTCTTTCTCATCACAAATGGCAGCTTTTTAATTGGCTATTTTTTTTCAGGCTTTCAGATGACAGAAATTATACAGGAAAGTTATAAAACTTCAAACTCTGTGCAAAGATTACACAGAAAGTGAATTCCTCTGCCTGCCTCTCCCCTCTCTGGGGAAAACTAATGCCCGCCCGAAGCGGGGTCCCAGTGCTTTCCTCCATCTGAACAAACCATCTCCCTCCTGCCCTTTCTTCTGTTTCTTCATGGGAATCGGGTTAAATTGTGTAAAGTTTCTGCAGCTGTCTCTCTCCTGCTGAGACAGCTCATGTCCATCTTTCCCATCTGAATGTGCACGTCTCCTGAGATTTAACCGCTGCATGACATTCCACAGCCTGGCCTTGGTAGGATCGAATCCCTGCTGGTGAGTGTGTGAGTTGTTCCATGTTCACCCAAGAATTCCCTCACCATACACTCCTGAAAGGAGAGAAGTAAAAGGGCACGCACATTTGCCTCAGGACGATGTTTGCTCTACGGCTCCCCTACCCCTCACCAAGCATCCTGTGGGGGTTGGGTACATAGGAAACACTCACTTCCATTTACATGTCTTGAATAGTTTCTTCACAGGTTTTTTCTTTAACTCTGATTTAAAGCTGAGCCTCCGCCTGACACACTCACGTCACAGCTGCCTACGTCTCCAGGGGCCGCCTGGCACATCTGTCCACGTGCCAGTTCACAAAGTCACTCCCGTTCCTGGGACCCGGGCTAAGGATGGGAGTTGTCAGCTCACAGAGGCCAGGTGCTGTCTGCAGGTGGTAGAGACCAGGAGAAGCGTTGCTTTGTGTCAGCGCAGGCTGCTTGTGGGCCGACATCACAAAGGATTTAGGGCACCTTTTATACTGAAAAGTGTTCTTTGGAAGATGGAGAGAAAAAGGGCTCTCACCTCCTTTGTGTTCTCTGAAGGTTTAATGAGGAGAGAGGAGCAGGCGGCAAGGGTGGTGGGGGGCCCACTTGTTCCAACTGTGGAAACAGACCCTTCCCAGGACACCCTGCAGGCCCATGAAGCGGGCGCCCCAGGGCTGTTACTGGGATGTTTTCTAAGCTGCTATTCAGTACCTGGAACTGAAGAAGCAATAGGGAAAATAAACTATTAAAATATAACACAGAACAATGAGAGCTGTTGGGACCAAGTTCTCTGTTTGAGATTCAGGGCGCTCCACAGCCTGGAGCATGCAGTTCCACGTGATAAAGTCTAAGAGCCACGCGTGAACAGGGCACCTCAGAAGCACAAGCTGTCACGGTTTAACTGCTACTACTATGAATCCAGATGTTAAATGTGTGACTTCCTGATCACTAAATAGTTACTGTCCCTTCGGATTTAAAGGCATGCAAACCATGAAGCCCCACCATCCCACAGCTCACAGTTGTGCAGATTTTTACACAGCTTAGACGGATCACACGCTCCCAAACCCATCAGCATGTGGTGGAGACCTGAGTATTCATTCCCAACTCTGAAGAAGCTGGAGACACCAGCATGAGCCCCGAGCCTCCAGTCTCTGTTTGGAATTATTATGAAGAGCCCAGGGAAGGGGATAAGAAGGAAGCCATGAGAGAACAGGACTTCCCTCGGCCAGGTGGCAAGGACAGGTTCAGTACAACAGGAGGGAGCAGAGTGGCCCTCCAAGCAGGAGAGCTGAGGGCAAAGGGGAAAGGTCACCAGGAGCGCCCAGGACCCAGGCACAGCCTCCAAGCTGTGCAGAAAACAGCGGGAAGGGGTTGGACCTGCAATCTCTCTTGATGCATTCGTTCTTTTGATCACACCACTGCCCTGGGAATGAGGCCGGCGGCCTGTGGCTCCAGGAGCACCTGTGGCGGTCAGCCACACCTAGTCTGCACTGCGTCCCCTTGTCCATCCATCCATCTGGCCACATGTGAGCATTGCAGAAACAGCAAGGAACGTTCAGCAGGCATGCTGCCTCTCAGCAGGGGAGAGAGGAAGAGGAGAATTAATGCAAACATAAGTCCACGTGCAGGGCTGTGCACAGTGCTGTGTTCCCAGGGGCATGCTCATTTCCGTGGGGAGAAGCAGGAACTGCAGTAGCACCCTCAAGGTCACCCTGGAAGGGCACCCAGTGCCCTGTCTGTTGGAAGAGAAATGGCTTTCTTCAGAGAAATGGGAGATCTTAAAGCATTAAAGCTGGGGAATGACAAGGTCCAAGTGGTGTTTTAGGGTTAACTTGGAGACAGCTTAGCAGTTGGGAAGAGGAGGCGCCAATAGGTGTGGTCTGCAGGGGGTCCTGGAGTAGAGACAGTTTGTGAAGAGATGATAAAGGGGTCACAGGATGCTGGAGTTGCTTGGCACCTGATGGCGGTGCGCCCTGCCAATCTGAGACCGCTGGGTGCCACCAACTGCCCAAACACCCAATAAGTGCCACAGCACACTATAAAGTGGACTTTGTCCTTCACGCTGATGCTTCTCAATGGCATTGGCATTTGGGCAGTGGGTGGGCATGCAGCCATCTCACATCAGAGGGCACAGAAGTGCTTTAGGGTACGGGGCAGCCATGGCGGCCTCACAGTGGTGCAGCTCAGGGTGCCTGGCAGCAACAGGGACAGCCACCTTCAGGCACTGCACAGCTCAACCTTGGGCCTGGCTGAGCTCCTGAAGCCCATTGGGCATTCCCGCCTGGGTCTAGCTGAACAGGTTTTATGTGAGTCAAACCCCACATCTCTGCCAGAATTCTATTCCGGGCACTTAAAGGATATGCAGGGCTGTGAGCAGCCTCAGAAGGGAGGTGTCTGTCCAGGAGAATGGCCCTGAGTGTCAGTGATAAGGTTAAGGCCACACAACCAGGCCCAGGTTAGGGGAAGGAGAGCAGAGTGGAGGACAGGGTCAGGGGGCAGCGGCTGCAGCCACACAGCAGCAGAGCACGGTGGCCGGGCCCACAGAGCAGCATCACAGAAAGAGGGTGCTAGGTTGTCAGTTCGGGCCCATAAACCAAACCTGCTGCGTGCTCTATGTGGAGAGAAACAGAGAGGCCAGTCCTGGTGCAGCATGTGAGAACCTGCAGCTGGTGATATCATCCAGGTGTGATTGTGGGCACAGCCAGAGGCAGGCATGGTGAGGTGGGTCAGGGGCAGCATCTTCATGGGGTGGGATTGTGGGTGTAGCCAGAGGCTGGGCATGTGGGTCAGGGGCAGCATCTATATCAGGTGGGATTGTGGGTGCAGCCAGAGGCTGGGCATGGTGAGGTGGGTCAAGAGCAGCATCTGCATGGGGTGGGATTGTGGGCAAAGCCAGAGGCCGGGCATGATGAGGTGGGTCAGGGGAAACATCTGCATGGTGCATTTCCCCAGCAGGGCTCTGTCTTTGGAGCCACTGCAGATTTAGCAGTGACAATGAACACCACGCCTCCAGACCCTGTGAGACCATCACCGGGTCCAACTATGCTGGACATTGGCCCAGTGGCCTCCCCAACAAAATCGCATCTGATGACAGCCTTACAGCAGCATGGAAAGTGCCCTTCACTCAGGCCATGATGTGAATGTGCCCCGGAGGTGGGCTATGTCAGGGCCCCCAGACCACCTTTTGTCCTAAAGATGGACATCATGGGGGCCTGACCCCAACTGCCCAGGGATCACCGTGTGCTCTGGAAATGGACACCATGAGGCATGTGACTATCAGCTCATCTGCACAAAATTCTCTATAGGCCAAAAGCCACCCATCCTCCACCGCCCTCCTTTGCGTTTTAATACACTGAAGGTGCAGGCCTCGACGGAGTCTATGTCCCCCCCGTCCCAGCTCTCACGTAGGCTTGTGGACCCCCTCTAAGCTGTCTGGACACCAGGCCCTGGACAGTGGACTGTGAGCTCCGACCCAAAGTGTGAGAC